TTTAAAGTAACTTGAGAATCTTAGCAAATCATTGTCTAGTTCTAGATATTTATTCAGACGAGTCGTTCATAGGTTGCCTATAGTACAAGTAGCTCTAATTGTTAGCACGACCGAAGGAGCAGCGTTAAGAACAGGAATATTCAGACGTTTTTAAAGTCAAATTCCACTACTCATCTCCGCGTAGAAGATGATCTTCTTGATGGTAACAAGGTTGTTGGTGTTTTGGTTCATTCAWGGATCGTATTGTCGTGTGTCGCAAAACAAGGATTACCTGGCTGCCAACCTCGACGACTACTATAGCAGTAAGTAAACTAGAGAATCATAAGCGAGTTAAAATTGATTGCATGATTTCCAGAGTAGGGTGGTCTAGGCCTCTTTTCCTTTCCGCGCGTGCTGCGCCGTTGCTATTTTCCCATTTTTGTCAAACTTGGTAAGATTCGGTGTCTTCCAGTAGAGCGGCAACGACCATTAAAAGATGGTCTTGTTTTGTGCGTAAAACGCTTTCACTCTAAACCGAATATGAACAATTAATTGTGTTCATGTGGGCCCGGTTGTACGAAGCCTAGATAGCGCTATCCAGCAGATAAATCTTATCCAGTGGATAAATTTATTGGATAACAGCACCGACTTATCCACTGGATAAGGATGATTTATCCGCTGGATAGCGCTATCCAGGCTTCGTACAACCGGGCCGTGATGTTTTGGATTGCGCTTTTCCATAACAAGCGAACCCGCTGAAAACTGGTGTGCGCTTTTATTTTTGACTTCCGTTTTTTCGTGTTTCATCTCGCGACTTAGGGTACAGCCAAGTATATTTTGTTCAGCATATAGCACATCCTCATTATGCGCTAGTATGTTCTAAATATCATGCATGTTCTAGGTATATATATATCTTGCCCCACGTGTCAAACATTGGCAAAGGTGTTCAATGCAAAAGTACGTCCACTTAATCCACTTTTTCTAAGTGATACGCACTCCGGACTTAGTGAACTTCTGTTCGAATATTTTTACAAAAGTATTTGCGACATATGGAATTAAACGGAGTGAGCTGTGTGGAATGCTAGAGTAGCAATGATCATTATCACGGTTTACTTATAAAATTTTAAAAAAATGAGAAACGGATTTCAGGTTGACAGTACAATCTAATGGGAATTGAGACAAAGCGCCAAAAAAGTCCTTTGAGATATTGTCGTAAAACGCAATACTAGCAATGCTATTGTATATTTATATATGGAGTGTCCGGCTATATTTGTTAGTCGACGAGAGTCCTTATAGTCCTTGATTTAGCTCCATACTTTAAATAATTGTTAATTTGTTTATGGCTATAGTCAATCACCTCAATGTACAACATATTTATGATTTTAGTGGAATTCTAAGCTGTAAAAGAAATTTTGAGGATGTTGACGACTGCGAAAAAAATCGATATTTCAGGTGTAAGGATGGAAGAGCGTTGATATCTTTCCTAAAGTGTCCTTACAATCGCGTATGATGATCTCATGATGTTTGTCAGGTTGTTTCGTTTCGGTAACCGCGACAGAGATATAACAGAAATAACTCATTAAGCGTTATCAGCTCAGCTAGAACAATTATGCAACAATCAAACAAGTATGCACGACGCTAGTGAGGAGATAACACTAATAGCGAATGGAACGAATGTGTGAAGTTAAAAATACTTCGCATAGCGCAAGGCTTTATTGCTATTGCTATGGGTCGCGTCTAAAGACAAAAGCTCCCCACTTCATCTCATTTCGTGCGCGTTTCATATAACAGCTCTTTTACACCCTCACCCTTCGTACGCGTACCTAATAATACAAAGGGTACCCAATTCCCGCTCCTTAGCTTACCATTATACCGACACCCCCACTGTTAGCTAAAGTACAAATACTCCAACACTGCGCTTTGATGTCTCATTCCTTGGTGTAGACAGCGTTTACATATCCATTAACATCGCTTTTAAAAAGCAATCTACGTCGTAGAGATTATAGTTAAACGTGTGATAGAAACCAAATATTTTTTGTATTTGAAAAAAAAATTTAAATGGAAAACACAGCGCCATTCAAGGTGTGCGACCTGGCGAGTAAGAGTCAGTAAAGTCCAGCCTGCTCTGCGGACATCAGTGGCGTCCCCAGGCCGTTGCCACACAAATAATGGACACTACATAATTATTGAATGGCGAAAGCATGATATCGTTAAATAGAGCGTTTTCACTCACGTGTCAAGGCAGCCATGTTGGTGTATCAAACAATAAAAACTTCTGTACAGTTGCATAAAAATAGAGTTCAATTCCCGGAGGATAGAAAATGTATTGTCTTGGTACACCAATAGGGGCGCTGTGACGTCGATCGAGGTCCTATGCTAGGTACGTACCGAGGCCGGAGGGTGAGCGATAAAAAGTATAATGCATCCTATACGAGCGCGCATTTGATATACCCAGTGCGCAACTAAAAAAACGCTCTTTTAATTTTTACTTCTGGCAGGCATAATCAAAATACCGCCACCACGAGAAACTGCTGTCAAGTTTGCAAAGTATTTCCTAGGTCGTGAAATCGATATCAATAAACACGCGCGAAGACCACGAAGCGATGATTTTCTCCAACGAAAACAAACAGATACGGTGTTAATAATAGACTCTTCTGAATCCGTCAAGCGAGTGAACTTCAAACTCGGGCTGAGAGCTCTACAAGCAATGGTCGAGCGAGGAAAGCCGGACACCAAGTACGCAGCGATCACATTCTCCAATCACGCGAAATTAGAATTTGTTTTCGTGGATAAAGAAAATGCGAAGAAAAATTTGAAGAAGATAGAATATCGTCGTGGAAAGACCAACACACAGGAAGCTCTTATGATGGCTTTAAACAAACTGATCAAGAGTAACACGTCAAACATCCGTGTAGGAAGCGTTCGACGCATTTTTTTGGTCACAGACGGTCTATCGAATGTTAAAAGACACATGACGCTGATGCGTGGCCAACAGCTAAAGTTTGCCGGCGTGGAGATATTTGTAATGGCCGTGGGGCAGTATGATCAAGGTTTGGAAGAGATTGTTGGTCTAGTGAGCTCAACCCTCGCTCACCTGTATAGGGTAGCGAACATGAAGGGGTTTCTGAGAGTGATTAAGTTGATTCCTAAAAATGTAGAGAAAAACTGGCTTTCTGGCATGAACGTGGGTGGGTTTTAGTAAAATAAGAAATATAAAAAAGTAATTAAAAGATTTAAAAAACCGGGAGAAAGGTTGTTAGGACTTCATGTAAATATTTCAAAAACGTCAACGCAAAATAGGATAAAAATAGCAATGTAAATAAAGGAATACTAAATGGATAAATAAACATGATTATAGAGAAGTTAGTTGATTCCTACCACGCCA